AAAGCACCTGTGCAGGACAGAATGTCTTCTAATAAGACAAATTCCCTGCCACTAGAAGAGCAAAATACTTTTCTAGAGTCTAGAAAAATCCATCCAAAAGCAGACAATATTCCTCCTAACAAATACATCTTTTTTCAAATCTAAGGAAACAAACGTAAGTTGAGCTTCTCTATTCCTAAAATCTCCTAGTAGAGAGTAGAAAGAATGTAGAACTACACTTCAGAAATTACTCTTTTATGCAGAAGACAAAGCAAGAAGGGGGTGGGGGAAAAGAAGTCTGGCTATACAGGAGACTTCTGAACAGGCTGGCCAAAGGACAATGCCTCAGCAGGGATATATTGTAAATTCAGTGGTTGCAAAGAGGTTACACTAATATACATGCAGTAGCTAAAAAAATTTATAGGACTGCCAAATGAGAAACATCTATTAATCCTCATAAATAAATTCAATGTCAAGATATATTTAAATACACATTTGGTATTCACAGGAAGTTTAGTGAGGTTTGCTCTAAAAAAATACCTTTATGTGAAAAATGAAAAACCATTATCACCATCAACTGCCAAGTTTCTGCCAAAGAGCAGGAATTTGAAAACTTCCAATCTTGCCTTTGAATATGGTCCAGCACATACTTACTACATTTATTGTTCCATTAAAAAGCTGAACGCAGAGAGTACTGCATTTTGGAAGCCATTACTTACCACCCTTCCTGCAAGTCTATACAGCAATCTATGTTCCATCAAAGGTCACTGATTTTAACAGGAAACCAAGCCCTGGCAAGAACTTCAGAATCAGGCCCCTAGAAAGCAGGGACTGAGTAGAGACAAGCGACTTCAATTCACAGTTTTACCTTGAAAAATACCAGATTTTTTTTTAAATGCATCAATTCTTTTCTTTTGGTTGACATTTCAATTTACTGTAGCAAGTCAACCCTTCTTGAAAATTGCCAGTCACCACAGTACTTTATTTTACTGAGCAAACCAGAAATACAGCCTGGCAAAAGCAGACAGCTTTTTGGAAATGAAATTAACACAAAAATTGAAGTAATTAATGTAACAATCACCATATGAAAGACTTCTCAGCTCACTGCCAATGGTTAGTACTGTAATGTAATATACAAGGAAACAGCAAGTACAGCCATCAGAGAGGAAGGCCACCTCCATAACAGGATGGCATAAAGATGGAAATTGTCCTCAAATTATTGTGTAAATCAGGCTTCTTCAGCCGGATATCAGTTTCTCTCCCTGCTGTGAGCTGACCACTCAAGACGGTGAAAGGTCAACGATTAGCCTGAAAAGATAAGCCAGGCAAAACTTTCCACTGAAGCAGAAGTTCCAGCTACATTCAGTAAGATATTAATTTATATTAATAATCAGTAGAACAATATACTACTTCGCTGCAGGCTACAGGGAGTTGCATTCATCAAGGTAAAGCATATTATGGGATACTTTTATTGGTTGAACAGTATATTGAATAAGCACATTGACTGAAGATTACACATAATAAAGTTTATTCTAAGGATACATCTAAAGTACTTCATGCATTTTGAGTCACTCAGCCTTGGGACTTCTTTCCCAGGAGACAAGTTCTCATTCGAGCTTAAAGGAAACACAAAAAAAGTTGCAAGCTATATTCTGCTCTTTTTATGGCACTCCCTTTCTGCTACTGTTTCAGGAATGAATCTTTCGGAATGAGATTTTGGAGGCACTTAGAAACGCATCAGAGCAAACGTCAGCTACGAATCCATCTTACAATTTGTGTACAATTTTACATTTAGTAGTGAAATAATCGTATGTGAGAGATCATTGAGTTTATTTCACAATATAAGAAAATATTGTTTACAAATAAGGAAATGCTTTGAGTTCGACTTTTTTTGTTAGCATTCCTTTTCTTCGCAATTACTGGTGCAAATCTCAATTCAGCAATGAAAGCTGCAGCCCAAAGCTATACAACATGCCTGCATTTTCGCTAATTTGCCACCCTTGCAGTTGCAAACACTGTTTTGTTTAACAATAAAAATCAGAAGAAAGCACAAGCAGGGTCAAGATTTCTGCCTATTAGAACAACTACTCTCCTTTACTCTTCCTCATATTAAATAAAATCACATATTCCCTATGCGCAAGACTGAAAGTGGGAAAAGGAGGGCAATTAAGCAGGCTGGCAGGGTAGGTGAGGAAAGGGGGAAATCCAGAAAAACAAAGGACATGTAAATAAAAATAATGCAGGTTCACACAAATCTATAGTGCTTTGTCTAAACACTTTATAGAAGACAAATGGTAACCAAATTGGTGCTATTCTGTATAGAGACAAGTTTCAAACCCCCAACTTCTACTGTTACAAGGACACTAGAAAAGCATAATCAAATGCAACTGTCATCCAGAGTCTGCAAGAAATATAGTCCCAATTGTAAAATATCCAGTTCCCTTGTTTTAAGTATTAATATACATACGCTTGTTTGCTTTTACGATTTTAAGTATCAAGAAACAAGAGTGGCAAGAATCATTCAAAATACTTTTTAGGCTATGAAAATGTTTCCATATAGTGTTTCCTCTTTTAGATACATATGCCAAACTAAAAGTAGATATTCAGCATAATTTAAACTACTTTCAAAGATGCATTTTGTCATCTATGTTGGATATTCTTATTCTAATAGATAAACAGGAAGAGCTGCACTAGTTTGAATTCACACCCTACCTAATAACTTAATTAGGCAGAAAGTGACCTGAGAAAGGACAAAAGTTACATGAAGACTAGCACGCTTTGCTACATAACCTAACAACAGAGAGCCTTCTGCTTTCTTCCGATTTGAACCATGAAACTAGTAGGTAATTTTAAACTGACATTTAAGACATACAAAAGATGTCATAAAATGCTGAGTATGGATCCTAGGACTAGTGTGCTCACAAACAGAAAAGGTTCAGCTTCCACAGGACAGTGATGGCTGTTACGGCTGTCTCCAGACATGGGCAGACCTTACTGTGCCAGGCCTGCCGTGGTCACCGTTTCTCTGTCATCACTAGAGCCTGAAAGGGAGGTTTTGAATAAAATGCAGGCCCACAGCACAAGGCAACTGCAATAACAAGAAAACAGGCACCTCTAGCAAGACATTTAATCAGTGGATCCCAAATAACTCTGCAAACAAAGTCAGTCACATCATCTCCTTTTCACAGCTGAAGTAAGTGGACAACCACCAAACTCATCTACTGTCACAACTCCTGTTCCAGAGTCTCATTTTCCCATTCTTCATTGCAATGGCTAGCAAAGGCCATTCTGGGTCATAAGTGCAATAAGCCTAGCTTCAGGTGCAGAATTAAGGAATACAATTAGACTGATTCAGCTGTATGAACCAACAATTCACACTAACACTAAAAGGACAGCCTGGTTCCTGTCTTACTCACTACACAGTCCTCCCTCAGAGTCTGTATCATCCTCTGGGGAGGCAGTTCAGCTCTCTGATCTGAGAAGTTACTATTTTGTAGTCTTACTTCTCTGCTGGGTAAGTGGGTTAGGTCAACTCATTAAAGGACTTAATAAGCAGCACAGATGACGAAGGGAAGCTGCAGGGATGAGCCCTCAGGAACAGCATAGAGAGGTTACAAAAGCAAGACATTCTGCCGCCCTTTTAGTGGCTGCAAACAGACCAGTTCAGAGGCACTACACAACTATAGGGTGAACTTCCTCTTCTCTCCCCTTCAAAGAGGAGAGGCACGATGTACAAGTTTTCCTAGCCCCATTGCAATCTCTGCCACTGAAGCAACTGGCAAAATGACAGTCCCTGAAGAGGCCAACCACTATATGTTTGCCAACTATTTAGGTATTGACCACTGCAGGTTTCAGCCCTGCTACTCAGATTGCTCACCGACCCGCTGCGTCTGCAGGAAGCAAAGGCAGAGGTTAGCCCAGGCGTGACAGACCACTGGATCAGGTTGCCCAGAGAGGTTGTGGAGTCTCCTTCGCTGGAGATATCCAAAACCCGCCTGGATGTGATCCTGGGCAATATGCTCTAGAGGTCCCTGCTTGAGCAGGGGGATTGGACTAGATGATCTCCAGAGGTCCCTTCCAACCTCAACCATTCTGCGATTCTGGGACGGTACCTCAGGGAGACGCATACGCCGCACCCCGGCACGGACGCGACAAGATGGCGCCCCCCGC